CTATCCATCCATCCATCCATCTATCCATCCATCTATCCATCCATCTATCCATCCATCTATCCATCCATCTATCCATCCATCTATCCATCTATCTATCCATCTATCTATCCATCTATCTATCCATCTATCTATCCATCTATCTATCTATCTATCTATCTATCTATCTATCTATCTATCTATCTATCTATCTATCTATCTATCACTCTTATTCGTCTGGCCTATTCCTCCTATTCATTCAATTTTTTGAATCTATCTATAGGTGAAAAAAATGTTTAATTTTTCTTTTTTTTTAAGTCAAATTTTTTCTGACTATTTTAGAGAGAGAATTATCGTGTTTATAACATTTAAATTAAATATGATAAGTTGTCATATACTTGATACATTTTTATGTAATTTTCTTTTATTGTTCTCACATATCATAAAGATGTACGCAAGCTATATAAATAATTATGAAAAATTGCATTCTAGGCTTAAGACACTTCTAACAAACTCTACATCTTGTCAAACATTGATTAAATCTTGTTAAATTTGATTTGATGCGTTGTATATGTGTGGATCTAATAATAAATGTATCCCCCACTGATAAATTCGAACCGATAAACAACCATCAACGCGCATGTTTATCTCTTCACGATTCGACATGCAAAGTCTGATAGAACACGATATTTATGCGAGTTTCCCAGAAGTATAGTGCACTGTTTTTAACAAAAAAATTACAGTGCAAGAAACAAGAAATGAAATTCGTTTTTCAATTCACGTTTTTCAATTCGTTTTCTTTCAACACGTTTTCCATTATATTACAACAGAGGAAAATGAGACAAAAATGCTGATAATTGTGATTCATTCTTATTTTATATTGTATTTTTTATTGGAAAGCTTGATGGAAATTGTAGAATGTATCAAAGTAATAAGAATAATGCCATGTCGCGTAACATAATATTTAAAAGTCTTCTAGTCACAATCAATTTAAACCACTATTCAATATAATACTTTAAACGGAATTATTCTAAATTTTTTTTCGGAAAATCTTTTCAATTAAGACAATATTGTCATCATAATCATGACATTAATATTGCACTATGTACAGTTTTTTTCTATTCAAAAGGTAACAAGGTTGTTGCATTCATATAGGTAGCGTTGCGTTCCTATGAGCAAGAATAATTTACAATTCTCAATTCAATCTGTATAAGCATTAGAATTAATTTATATTCTAATAAATGCGAGAACATACGGAATGATATATTAAACAATGCACACACAAACAGTGTATCCTGAAATAAAATCATATGATATCGAGCGTTAATCATGCACTCGACTATATTTTAGTGGCAAAAATTAATCAGAATGTCTAATATTAAAAAGTTAATTCTTTAGCTTTTATTAGTCTGTCAGAAATCATTTACAAAGTATAAATTTCGTGCTTCTCAACAAATTGATAATTTTTAGCAGTTTACACGTACACGCATGCATACATTTCTCGAGAGAACATACATACGTATAATACGCGCAGGGAATGTTGAGAGTGACGAGCAGCTGCAAATTTTCCTCGAGTGAAATAGGGATTTGTCTCACCCTCACCTGTCCCTCGCACCTTGCCATTCATCTTTCTACCCTCGGGTGAGATTCAGTCCTTGCGAGTGCAAAATCTCCGCGAGCAAACAAGTAATTTACAGGTAGCTAAAGAGCTCAGCGGTTCAATTTATCCACGATTCTTTCCATATGAGTAGTATACACATACTGAGTCGGAGCTTTGTTTATATCGTATGTATCTGTGACGAGGATATTATTATATGTATCCGCAGAAAAATGTCGTCGTTATTATTGTCAATGAACTTTACTATTGTTACTAGCAGTAACTGTAATGTTGTTCCATCATACACACATTTATATTAATAATATTTTATATTAATAATCTTTCTCTTCTCTTTACAGCTACCGAAGAATTGGGGAGTAGCAAATTGAGCACCACGTTGCCGACCGCACCGACTGAGCTTTCGCAGTTCCCAAAGCTCTGCGAGTTGCGTCGGAAATTCCCGGTTCTATACCGAGTGGAGTTTCAGGTGAGGTCTGGTAAAAGCCATTTTCCGTCTACTCATCAAACTTTGGTCACTTCTTGATTTCGTCTTTTTCGCTTCAACAACTTTTCACTTTTTATCATCGTTCTTCGCTTAAACGCGCTATCGCGATTATTAGTAATGTCGCAATCAATAATAATTTATTGTATTTTACGATTTCCTTGACTTGATAATTACGCACACAATCGCGTTAAAAAGAAACGTGTCTGTAGTCTGTAGTGAATTACAAAAAATTTAATTGCTTTTCTAACAATTGTATGAATTTGTTAAATAATGTATAGCTCTTATTGCGCATTATTGCAAATACTGATCAGTGCTATGTTATTAGCTGCCGGAATAAGTTTATTTGTTTGTACGATGATGAAGACATATACATCATTGCATACGTACGTGATGCAGCCGACAGCATCGTCTGCAAGTACATGCATGTAGCACGTAGGCATACTTGTGGATATTGCAGCATGCTCAGAGATAGACAGACAGCCAAGAGACAAAGCAAACCTCTCTCAGCAGTATAGGTTGAGAAATAGAGACTCGGTATAATATCGGTTTCTCATTAGACAGCCGTTTCAGAACGCAAGCACACGAAAGATATGCTTTGCCCCGGTAATTTGCACGGATACTATACATATACTATCACACGATCCAAAGAGATAGTCAAAGCTGATGATGCAAGCCGCTCTACCAAGAATATCGCGAATTTTGCGTCTCGCGCAGTCGATTCGAAAACATTTCATCTGATCAAAGTAGCAGTTAACAAGTTAAGTTAGGTTAGGTTAAGCAAATTTAGTTACAAGTTAAACCTATCTACACTGTCATTATTTTCATTGAGATTATAGAAGGACATTCTCTTTTAAAAGCAAAGTTTTATTGGCTTAATTTTCATTATTTGCGGCTAAAGAAAACTCAAGGAAACCTTATCCATAATTCAAAATTTCAATGTTAAAAAAGGTATCATAGGTATCATCATCAAAATTTTAAAATCCTTTCAGTACTGTCTACTGCAGTCTGCGTTTTTTAATCATTATTCCTATTATTATACAAGTAGCACGCGATGTACGAGAAGACTCAATATGGATGACGAGATACAATTGAATTCTTAACTGCACCTTGAAGTACGACATCATTTCAGTCTGGTCTTTATTCTTTTCTTCATATCACAATCACATGTTTCTATTTGGCGCAACTGTTTCAGGAGACGAGAAGTTTCAAGCAATATTTACATATTTCACCGAGTTGCTTTCACATTTCACTCTCTCACAGAGCAAAATCGATCTACATCTTTTATATCACGAAGAAAATATTTGTACTTTATAAGTATATATGTACTTTCGAGAAATTCCAATTGACGAATGGCTTTTTTAACAAGACTAGAACAATACAGGCGCGCACTTCTTATAATAATTTAATAATTATAAAATCTAAATATTTTAATAAAATTTTTTTATTTTAAATAACCGTCAAAATAACCTTTGCTCTCAAACTACCAAACTGTCAGAATAATCGCGATAACCAATCAGCGTCGCGGAAAAACGTCAACAATACTTTCGATACATTCGAGTATCTATCTTTCATGCCTTTTTTAAGAGTGGATTTAATTTTTTATATTTTTCTAATGCAAGGATGAAAGCTCAAGAAAAACATTTAAGTTTAAATCTTAAGTTTAAATACATGTAAAAGATTTGCACAGCTCTAATCACAACTTTAACAATGAGTTTTAACGTTTAATCTTTCTTTTATTCCACACACGCGCGCGCACACACGTAATAACTTCGTATAGCATACATT